CTAAGAGACCTAACAGACAGACACGCACATACAGATATACAGACAGACAGACAGATAGACACACACACACACACACACACACACACACACACACACACACACTTTCCATTGAATATGAACACAGGTAATGAGAAGGCCGTGACACAGAAGCATTACAAAGGGAAGCCTGCCTGAATGACAGTTGTGACCACACCCTGACACAGCTCAGGTTCTCACAGATGGAGAGAAGATTTTAGGACTCCTGCTTGACAATAAAAGAAACCACAGTGAAGAAGATTCTTCAGGCACAGATTTCCACAGCCAGTTACAGCAGAAGCAGTGTGCAGAGAGACCTCTTCTCCACAGGCCAGAGACCTCAGGGTATAAGGAATTAAATGTCGACTCTTTTCTAGCACGCAAGATGACAGTGAGATACAATGAACCTCCTGCTCACTGCAGATATTTTCTGTTACCTGAAACATCCATTTACAACCATTTAAAAGAAAGTAATAAGAAACAAGCCAAAGCAACTGCATACATTTACTGAAACAACATCCAGATCATTACCTTAAGGTCCCTCACCTTGTATGATTAGCAAAGACTATCCACAAGGCAGTTTCTGCCCATTTCCCACCAAAGCACCCCAGCTTCCAAACTGGAGATCCCCACTCTCAAGGCATGTTTCAAAATGTCTTGTTATCTGTCAGCTCTTTAGAGAAGAGAGGTCGTGAGGGTTAGAAGTTAGAGCTGAATCACCTGGCCACTTACCAGAGAATCCCGAGTTCAGTGTATGAGCTCACTGTAGTTCAGCTGCAGGAACCACTGTCCACTGTGCTGCAGTCTCTTCCCATGAACCAACCCCTCCTTCCTCTGTGGAAAGCAGCAGGTTTCTGACAGTTTAGCAGGACTCACACTCTCTCCAGGGTCCTGTCCTTCCCTCTCAGTGTGTGCTGGCCAATCACAGAGGAGCACAGGTCAGTAGCTTCCAGACCTGCTGCATTTCCAAGAAAAGGAAAGCGAAACTGAAATGAGCAGCTGTGTTTCATTCCATTAAACCTTTGTTTCTTGGCAGAAAAATCGGGACAATCCTAAAATGGTACAGGTGTGAAATGTGGGGCTTGGACATGGAGGGAGATCATGGAGAAGCAGCTGACTTACTTAGCAGGAACACACCCCTTGAAAGATAATTTTTGGGATCCGTGACTCCACAAATACAACCTGAACTGAAGTCACACAGCACATTGTCTGGTGATCTGTGCAGATGCCAAGTTAAGGATCACCCATGACACAACTTATTTCCTCACAATTGTGGATTCATGTTACTTAATTCTTGTCATTCTCAACTCTTCTGTCAGTGCACACATTTGATCTGGTTTGGACGTGACAGGTTTTACACATGTTGTCACAACCATTTTGAACTTGTACATCCAGCTGCCTTGCCTTGTTGCATCCAGAAGACACAGTTTCACTGTAGCTGTATACTCTACTGACTCTGGCTGTTATAGTCTTTTTATCTCTCCTTCAACAACCATTCCTGTGCCTTTGGAACTAGAATTATATATATACCATTCAGGGCTGGATATTGTTCAGTGTTATTCTCTGAATGTTAGCCAGTTGTGGATCTTGGTATAGATTATCATCTACTACAAATATGAACAAACATAATAAAGGTTGGGAGATGCCTTAATCTATGGATATAATGATGATTCAAGGAGAGCTGGCTTAATATTATACCCAACTAACAGGATAACAATAGTAATGTTTACTTAGAGTCAATAATATGTCTAGGCTTAAATTCTTGCTAAGGTGTGGGTTTCATTTAGTAGAGAAACTATTAAATCTAATTTTTGGGAGTGTTTATGGTGACCTTCAGGGGGTTTTGGCGCATCAAACCACATGGAAACAAAAAAAGACCCTCTTTTCCAAAACAACATACCCTTGGACAGAAATTCTGAAGTCAAGATACCTTCAAAGTTTATATATTGGTTACTTAGCTTTTTTACAGTAAAAAATTCAAAGAAAACACAATAATATACATAATCCAGACTCTCTGTGTATATTTCATCTTTATGTGGCTTGTTTTTACTCTATTACTTTTTAGTATTTATTTTATTATATTTGCTTCTTTAATCTATAACTGTCTATACTCTGTCCCTTTAAAGATTGTCAGGAAATGGAAACAGTCTAGATGTCCATCAATTGATAATGGGCAATAAAAGCATAACACATACACAGTGGAATTTTATTCACCTGGAAAGGAAAATAAAATCACAGAATTTCAGGTCAACAGACGGATCTGGTGTCCCAGACTCAGAAGTACAAATACCAGATATTCTTTCTCATATATAGATCTTAACATCGAATCTTTAGATTTGAGTCATTGACATGGAATAATTATGGTTTCCAGGAAACTGGAAAGGGGTCACTGCAGGGAAGGAAGAAAGACCTTAAGGAAAGATATTGTAGTTGGTTTTAATGTCAACTGGCCACAAATTAGATTCATTTGTTACAGAGCCTCGCCTGAAGAAGTGTCTGGATTGCCTTAGTTGATGACAGAAAACCCGCCCAGCTGCCACAGGTACAACAGGGAACAATCCCTTACCTTGTGCTGGCTTGGTCTTCACTCTTACTATGGGTTGGTTTACCCTATCTCTACTGCTGGAATTTGGCAAAATTAAAGAAAATATCATCATCTATCCTATCTTTGTGAGTCCAAAGTTTTATATCTAATTTATCTTTTATCATAATTAAAAAAGCTATAATCACAACCAACTGTCTTAACTCCATCAAAGACCTCAGAAGGTTATAATATTGCCTAAGTAAACAGGAAGTACATTACAAGCAACTTCCAATACTCTAGAATTGACAGAGACATTTGACTGCCTGGACAGTCCTCCAAAGTTCCTCTGTAGCATTGGGGAATCCATCTTCATTCTGAAAGCCCATGGTATCTGACAGACTTTTACATGAAGTTGAAGACATATTCTAACTTGTGCATGCAAATTTCAACAATGGCTTTCTTCTTTGTCCTGTAGAATGTCTGGAAGTTTCCTCTGTGAAGCAAGAACCCTGAAGGCCCATCCTACCTTATCTCTGCAAATTCAGCAGTCACTTTCCGGTGAGTCCTGCATATCCAGTTTATGCAGCATACAGTCAAGCAGTTCAGGCAAGAGCATTTTCTTACCCAAATGGCCATCTTGCCACATAGAAGGCAAACTCAAATAAGGAGTTTCTTTGGTGCCCATCATCCCTCTTGAAGTAATTTAATTGGTGCTGTCAGGAGCAGATAGATGTATCTCACTATTGAGAATGTCTAAAATCTTAAAAAAATTAAAATGTCATATTCTGTAGGTCTTTGAAGTATTTGAATATTACCTATTGATCTGAAATATATCTCTGCATATCTAGACAACCTAACTAATATGACTACAAGCTTGACTGCCATAGATGACTATTAATTTTTTAACTATACTTATGATTTATTTGAGTTATACAAACATAATACCTCAAACAAGAGTATATATATATATATAATAAGAAATTTGACCTTAGCTTTATATTAATAAATGGAAATTCAGATCAATGTAAAGTATTTATTTCTACATCATATCCCATTTGTTCTTTAGAAAGAGATTGACTGTGACCATTAGTTGTTTATAATCAACCCCTTTTAAATGAAAACAAACATTTATAGACAGCATTTAGGAATTTTGGTCAATGCTACTTCCTGCTAATTGTTGAATGCAGTGGTCTTATGGGGACCCTGAGAAAATAAAGAATTATGGTTAAATCTTGGCTGCAGTAGTCTGTGAGATTGCATAATTTCAGCCTGTTCCCTTGAATCTATTTCAGGGAATCTTGTTCGATCAAACCAAATTAACATAGAAGGAATCCACATCTTCTCATCTTCCCTGGAAACAAAGGAACCTCTTTTTCAAAGCAACATATCCTTAGACCTGAATTTTGAAGTCAAGATACCTTTATGTGGGTTTATCTTAGCAGCCTCCACAATTAAATGTCTCTCTTCAGTTAGATCATTAATAGTCAAAAATTCAAAGAAAGCACAAACAATATACAGGATCCAGGCTTTCTATGTGTTTTCCATTGTTATATGGCTCAATATATATATATATATATATATATATATATATATATATATAAATAAATACATAAATACATATATATATATAAACTCTTTGTCTTTTAAGTACCTCAGTTTATTATCCTTAAATTTCTTTTGTAGTCCTCTCCCTCACAAATCCATGCACATTTATCAAACACACTGTGACCCAGTTACAGGCCTTTTTTAAAATCTGAATCTGTTCTTATTGTATATCTGTCATCCTTTTTGTCATTTTAAAAAAAACAGGGGAGTGCTTTTAAAATGCTGAGTGGATATGGCTTGGACTAAAGAAGCTCTCTCCACCTTAGAAAATAATGTTGCCAAGAAGCAATGTTTGACTCTGTTCTTTTGTGTTTAGAATCTCTGTTTACATGTCTGAGGACATGTCAAGCTCATGTTGGATCTCCTGCTCAGCTACTTTTTACCTTTTTCACCAAGGCAGGTTTTCTCAGCTGGATCCAGAGCTGCAGATCTACACAATCTAGCAAGCCAACTTGTTCCATGGTTTCACTGTTTCTGCCTTCCGAGTGTGGAAGTTTAAGGTGTGTTCTGGAAATTGAGCTCTGATCATCATACATGCATGTCAAGTGCCTGCAATTTCTTGAGTTTTCACTGGAATGTTTGGATTATAGTAAAATAGCTACAAAACACCTATTAATATCTTTAGTGTGTGTGTTTGCACATGTTTGGATATTGCAAATGGATATGCTTCCATTTATGGGTATGTGTGTGGGGGTGTTTATGTGTGTATGTGTGTGCACATGCATGCATGCGTGTGTGTGTGTGTGTGTGTGTGTGTGTGTATTTCTATGTGTGTGCATTCAAGTGTGCAGGTAGAGTTGAAAGACAGCCTGGAATGTAGAGAGGTGAAGAGGGATTGGGGCTGTCAGACTCTCATATGCTAAGAAGCATGATCCTTATCTTTAGATTTTCCCATTGTGATAGTGGATTGGCTAGTATAAAGAAAATATACCAGAGAGGGAATTTATTTTATGATTCCCTGGTATTAACCATTTGATGTTATCATGGTCAGTAACTGTGGGTGAGGTGAGTTTGAACTAGAGTTTTGAGTGTGTCTTTGTAAGAACTTTGACATCTTCAGTCACTGTGCCATGGAAAAGAAGATGCAAGCAAAAGGTTTTCCTAAACTAAAGACCTATAGCAAGGGGTCCACCAGTAGCTGAGGCAAATTTCTCCAAATATTTCAACAATGTTTATCTTAGTGTTTCTTCTTTTTTATTTTCTATCAAATAAGAACATTGAATGATTTTTTTTCAGTTGTTCAGTAGGTATTTTGAAATTCTTAGCAATGAATTCCAGGGATTCATCATCCACTCCAAAGTTGATTTGGTAGTTGTTTAACTTTATCTTCGATTTTTTCCACGTCATCCATGAGGATGTCCACTGTAGGAATAGTAGCCCAAGTTCCAGCCCTGAGTGCTATATATTTAGACTTGTGCTTTCTGTCAATGTCTGCATGAGTAATATTAGGCAGGGAAAGCATAAAATTGTGGTCCTTTTGATCAGGAAGATCCTCAATGAGGGTGTCCATCAGGACTGAAAAATCATAGCTAGGTAAATCATGGTTAGATATCAAGAAAATATGTGCCACATCCATGTTAATCTGACTGAAGGTATTCACATAGTAGCTTCTGATCTGCTACAGAGTCTTTTCTCTGTCAAAGGGTTGTGGTCTGCATTTCTTTCCATTGTCTAAATCAATGTCCACCTTGGCTCTCACAAAGTAGTAATTCTTTTTCATAAATCTGATTGCTTTGGCAAGATCTAGTTCAAGTTTTGTAAACTGGGTGGCAGAAATAATAACAAAGAA